CAGCCCATGTCGTGTTTGTTTCTGCATCCCAGCGCCTAGGTCAACACTGGGCACATACAAGGTGATATGGTTTGGCTCGGTGTCCCCGCCCAAATCTCATCGTGAATTGTAATCCCCATAATCCCCACATGTGGAGGGAGGGACCTAGTGGGAGGTGATTGGATGGATCATGGGGGCAGTTTCCCCCATGCTGTTCTCGTGATAGTGAATGAGGTCTCATGAGCTATGATGGTTTTATCAGTGTTTGACAGTTTCTCCCACAGACACTCTCTCACCTGCCACCATGTGAGACGAGCCCACTTCACCTTCCGCCATGACTGTAACTTTCCTGAGGCCTCCCGAACATGCGGAAGTGTGAGTCACTTAAACCTCTTTCCCTTAGTAGTTACCCAGTCTTGGGCAGTTCTTTATATTACAGCAGTGTGAAAAAAACAGACTAATACACCAGGCATCCAAGGAATGCTGACTGGACAGGGACTTCCGCTTTTGGCTAACATGGAGGGAGAGGCACTAGATTTACTCTCCTGCCTCAAAAAACTAAAAAGCCAGACAAAGCCAAAAAAAACACATAGAACAACAGTTTGTAAATGCTGGACATCAGACAACACAGAAGAGTGACCCCTGACAGTGGAAAACAAAAAGCTGAGTACTACAGCTGCTCCAAGTTACTCCTAGAGGGCCTCCAGGCCCAAGGCACAGGGAGTGGAGGAGAGGAATTCCAACTCCAGGGAGGCCAGGGTAGCCAGAGTTCACAGGGCAGAGTACCAGAGAGGAAAGGGCCACACAGAGAACCCCAGAAACCTACAGAGGGTCCCCCTCCGGCTCTCAGCCGGTACTGATCTGTACCCGTCCAAGGCAACAATCCTTGGACCTCAAATTGAAACAGAAATAGTCTTGTGTGCCCACCAGCCGCAGTGGAAAAACCTCATCATTCACAGGACATTGGTAAAGTACTAAGGACAGTACTGCCTCAGTAGTGAGGAAAAATCAGGCCTGGGCCTAAGGCTGTTCTGACCACAACTAACAAGCCTTGAGAGCAACCTTTAAAGAATCAAACTGTTCCCAAGTAACTTAACAGTGTTCCAAAACAATGCCAGGAACATTTATAGAAATACAAAAATATCCAGCACCCCATAAAGTAAAATTCACAACATGTGATATACAATTAAAAATTACCAGACATACAAAGAAACAAGAAAATAAGACCCATAGTGAGGGAAACAATAGAAACAGACCCAAAAAATACACAGATAATGGAATTAGCAGGCAAGGACATTAAAACAGTTACTAAAACTGTATTCCGTATGTTCAAGAAGCAAAAGGAAAGATTAAGCATGTTAGAGACAGGGAAGATATTTAAAAGACCCAAATCAAACTTCTACAGATGAAAACTACAAAGTCTATGATAAAAAGTATACTGAAAGGGAGTATCAGCAGATTAGACAATGCAGAAGAGACCAGTCAATTTGAAGACATAGCAACAGAAACTATCCAGCACAAACCAGAGAGAAAAAAAAAAGAGACTAGCGGGAAAAATAAATGATCAGAGAGCTATGGAACAACTTCTAGCACCCTTAGATACATGTAACTGGATTCCCCGAAAGAGAGGAAAGAGAAAAGGGAATGAAAAAAATATTTGCAGAATTACTGACTGAAAAATTTCCAAATCTGATGAAAGCTATAAACCCACAAATCCAAAAAACTCAATGAACCCAAGCACAAAAAAACATGAAGAAAACTACACTACACAAAGCACATCATCATTACATTGTTTAAACTCAGAAAAGCAGTCAGAGCCAGGCATGGTGGCTCATGCCTGCAATCTCAGCACTTTGGGAGGCCAAGATGGGAAGACTGCTCGAGCTCAGGAGTTTCTGACCATCCTGGGCAACACAGTGAGACCCTGTTTCTAGAAAAAATAAAAAATTAGCCCGGCATGGTGGCACAGACCTGTGGTCCCAACTACTTGGGAGGCTGAAGTGGGAGGATCCCTTGAGCCCAGAAATCTGAGGCTGCAGTGAGCTATGATCATGCCACTGCCCTCTGGCTTGGATGATAGAGTGAGACTCTGTCTCAAAAAAAAAAAAAAAAAAAAATGGAAGAAAGAAAGAAAAGCAGTTAGAAGGAGAAAAAGATACATTAAAAACAGAAGAGCAAAAAATAAAAATAAACAGGCCAGGTGTGGTGGCTCATGCCTGTAATCTTACCACTTTGGGAAGCCGATGCCATAGGGTCACTTTAGGCCAGGAAGTCAAAACCAGCCTGAGCAACATAGCAAGACCCTATCTCTACAAAAATAAAGAATAATCATTTAAAACAATTACCCAGGCATGGTATACACACCTGTAGTCTTAGCTACTAGGGACCCTGAGGTGGGAGGATCACCTGAGCCCAGAAGTTTGAGGCCTCAGTGAGCTATGATCATGCCACTGCACTCTGGCCTGTATGACAGAGTGAGACTCTGCCTCTTAAAAAAACAAGAAGAAAAAAGGAAAGAAAAATAGCAGATTATTCATATGAAACAATGCAAGCAAAAGACACTGGAACATCTTTAAAGCACTGAAAAAAAAAAATAGTTAATCCAGAATTCTATACAGGGAAAATGCCTTCCAAAAACAAAGCCAAAATAAAGACTTCTCTAGACACCCAAAAGCTGAAAGAATCCATCACTAACAGACCAGCACCACAAGAAATGTTAAATGGACATCCTCAAGTCAGAAGGAACATGAAACAAGGCAGAAATGTGGATCTACATGGAGGAATAAAGAGCACCAAAAATGTTAAACAGATGAGTAAATATAAAAGAACTTTACATTGTAATCTCCTTAAAAAATGATTATTTAAAACAAAAATAACAATGTGTTATGGGATTTATGGCATGTGTAGAGGTAAAACAGGTGACAACAGTATGAAGTCCAGGAGGAAGGAAATGAAAGTAAACTATTGCAAGATTCTTACACTAAAGTGGTATGACATCACTTGAAGACAGGCTGTGGCAAATTAAAGATGCATACTATATATCTTAAAGCAACCACTAAAAAAGTGTTAGAATAAACCAACAAAGGAAACAAAATGGAATCATAAAAATTACTCGATCCCAAAGAAGTCATAAGAAAGGAAAAAGGGAACAAAGCACATGGCACAGATTGAAAACAAACAGCAAGAAGGTAGATTTAAACTTCACCGTATCAATAATCACATTAAATCTAAATAGTCTTAACATCCCAATTAAAATGCAGCTTGTGAGACTGGATTAAAAAGCAACCCCCGGCCAGGTGCAGTTGTTCACACCTGTAAACCCAGCACTTTGGGAGGAGTGGGCAGATAACTTAAGGTCAGGAGTTCAAGACTAACCTGGCCAACACAGCGAAATCTCGTCTCTACTAAAAATACCAAAAAATTAGCTGGGCACGGTAGGCACATGCCTATAATCCCAGCTCTCAGGAAGCTGAGGCATGAGAATCATTTGAACCCAGGAGGAGGAGATTGCAGTGAGTCAAGATCACACCACTACACTCTTGCCTGGGCAACAGAAGGAGACTCTGTCTCAAAAAAAAAAAAACAAAAAAAAACAAAAAAAACACCCGTCTATATGCTGCCTACAAGAAGCCCACTTTCAATATAAAGACACAAATTGTTTAGAAACACTTTTTAAGAGATAAACCATAATTTTTAAATCTTCTATTTTTAAAAACCCTTTTATACGCAACAAAATTTACCATTTTAATCATTTTTAAGTATACAGTTCTTTCACATTAAATACATTTGCTTTGTTGTATAACCATCACCACCATTCCTCTCCAGAACATTTTCATCACCCTAAACCGAAATTCTGTACGCATTAAGCACTAACTTCCCATTCTCCCTTTCTTCCATCGTCTGGCAACCACCATTCCACTTTCTGTCTCTACAACTGGACCACTCTAGGAACCTCATGTAAGAGGAATACAACAATATTTGTTCTCTTGTGACCGGCTGGTTTCACTAAGGATAATGTCTTCAAGGTTCACCCATATCACAGGATATATCAAGTCTTCTTTCCTTTTTAAGACTGAATAATATTCTATCTAATATATATACCACATTTTGCTTAGCCATTCACCTGTCCATGGACACTTGCGTGGTTCCCAACTTTTAGGCTATTGTAAATAATGCTGCTACGAACATGGGTATACAGATACTTGCTCAAGTGTCTGCTTTCACTTATTTGGGTATATACCCGGAAGTGGAATTGCTAGATGATATGGCAATTCCATGTTTAATTTTTTGAGGAACTGCCATGCTGTTTTCCACTGGCTATACCATTTTCCATTCCCACCAAAAAAGCACAAGGGTTTCAATTTCTCTACATCCTTGTCAACATTTATTACTTACTGGTTTTTTTTGTTTGCTTGTTTGTTTTAATAGCTATCGTAATAGGTGAAGTGGTAGCTCGCTGTGGTACTGATTTGCATTCCATAATGACTAGTGAAGTTGAGCATCTTTTCATGTACTTACTGGCCATTTGTGTATCTTCTTTGAAGAAATATCTATTCAAGTCCTTCACCCATTTTTGAATCGGGTTGTGTTTTTTGTTGCTTAGTAGCAGAAGTTGTTTACATATTCTGGAAATCAATTCCTAACACTAATTTTTTAAAGCTGGATTAGCTATATTAATATCAGACAAAGTAGATTTCAGAGCAAAGAACATTTCCTGGGGCTAAAAGAGTCATTTCATGGTAAATGATACAGTTTGGATATCTGCCCCCTCCAAATCCGTTAAAATTTGATTCCCAATGTTGGAGGTAGGGCCTAGTGGTGAGACATGTTTAGGTCACAGGACAGATCCCTCATGAATGGCTTGGTGCCCTCCCCGCAGTAATGAGTTCTTGCTCTCTTAGTTCACATGAGAGCTGGTTGCTTAAAAGGGCCTGGCATCTCTCTTGCTCCCTCTGTGGCTGTGTGACACACCTGTTCCCCTTTCACCTTCTGCCACGAGTAAAAGCTTCCTGAGTCCTCACCAGAAGCAGATGCTGATGCAATGTTTCTTGTACAGCGTGTAGAACCGTGAGCCAAATGAATCTCTTTTCTTTATAAATCGTCTGCTTCAGGTATTTCTTTATAGCAACGCAAAACAGCCTAATACAATACAATAAAGAAGGTCAATTCATACATGGAATATAATACTCATAAAGGTTTGTGCAATTAACAATGGAGCTTCGAAACATGTGAAACACAAACCGATAAAACTACCAGGGGAAATGGAGAAATCCACAATTATAATCAGAAGTGTCAATGTCCCTCTCTCAATAACTGAAAGAACAGAAGACCAAAAATCAGTAAGGACACAGAAGACTTGAACATTACAAACCAACCTGCCTGAACTGAAAGTTACAGAACACTTGATCCGGCAATAGCAGAATAGGCAACTTCCTCAAGGGCTCACAGAACATTTACCAAGATAGACCATACTCTGGGCCATAAAACAAGTCTCAGCAAATGTAACAGGGAAATATGTTCTCTATTTAAAAGAAAATAAATTAGAAATCAGTGTTTACCAGACAGGAGAATAAAGTAATCCTATAATGCTGACTTCACCTGTGACTAGTTGTAATCCTGCTTGAGGTGGGACCAGATAAATCAGTAGCGGGACTGAAAATACTTACAGGTCTTCAAAGGTAGGCCTACCTGCCTGAGCTATCTGTTTGACGTTCACTGGAGAGACTCCCTCTCCAGCCCATCCTAAGCCCCAGGGGTCCTACTTGTCAGCCTCGGCTAAATCAAGACAAACCTGTTTGATATTTGCTTAGTCTTTCACGTAAACCAGTAAAAGAAGATAAAGAGGTGAGATATGAATTGGAAGGAGCACCTACTAAGTAAACACGTCTTTAAACCTAGCAAAACCTCAGACAGGGCTGCCATTAGACACCTCTCTCTCTTTCGGTAAGCTCCTGGGAACAGACCAAAACCTTGTGGAAACGCCACCTTTCAAGGACACTTCTAACAGAATTTCCACACAACAGAGATCCAGCTGGATTAAAAGAGCTAAATCCATTAAGCCAGGTCTTCAGTGATCTGATTTTGTCAGCCTGGAAAACCCCTACTATTACTGGCCAACAGTGTCCAGAAATGATTCGTACCGCTAGCTAACCCAAAGGCCTCTTAAGGGCAAATTAACAAATTTCAAAGCAATAAACAAAAAGAAAACAAGAATCCTCAGGAATAATCTCACTTCCAAGCTACCAGTGGCCTAGCAAATCTACAAAGTTCTTAACAGGCGGTGTTTCCCAAACTTGCCTTACAGTAAGAATCACCCAGTGCGTTCGTTAAAAATAGATTTCTGGGCCCTCCTCCAGACAATAGCACAGGAATCTCTAGAGGTGGAGCTCTGTATTTTTAACAAGCATCAGAAATTATTCTTAAGGTCCAGCACCTTTGGTAAACTAAAGGGTCTGAGAGGCAGTATCACACAGTTAAAAGCACCTTGACTTCGAAATGAGACTGATGGCTTAGAAATCCCACTTGCGGCTGGACACAGTGGTTCACGCCTGTAATGCCAGCACTTTGGGAGGCAGAAGCGGGTGGATCACCTGAGGTCAGGAGTTCGAGATCAGCCTGGCCAACATGGTGAAACCCCGTCTGAACTAAAAAATACAAAAATTAGCCGGGCGTTGTGGCGGGCACCTATAATCCCAGCTACTGGGGAGGCTGAGGCAGGAGAATCGCTTGAACCCAGGGGGCGGAGGCTGCAGTGAGCGGAGATCACACCACTTCACTCCAGCCTGGGCAACAGTTCAAGACTCCGTCTCAAAAAAAAAAAAAAAAAAAATCCAAACTTGGTCACTTACTGGCTGTGTGACGCTAGCCAGGTTATCTAACACCTCTGCAACTCACTTCATCTGTAAAATGGGATCATCGCCTATTTGGACATGTTCACAAAATTCGGTATGTTCAGAAAGCCCTAGAACAGCGCCCAGCATATGAAGCCAAGCAACAAATCACAGCTATTGCTACCTGCAAAACAGCGGCAGAAACTGCTCAGAAAGTCTACAATGAAAATGTGCTACTTAATGGAAATTACAAAGGCATGGAATCACATTTCCAAGATAATCTAGGAAAAAGGTTTTTCTGAGCACTACCACCGCAAAGAACCAAGACTCACTTTAGCGTCCAGTATGTTCACCGCAACAGTCCCCAATCCCACCCAGAACTACAGAGTTCAGGTCTCTGCAGGGCTGCAGCTTTGGACAACAAAGTAAGAGTCTTTCCTTCCCCAGTTCCTCGGTCACCACCACCTCCAGCTCTAAGGCCAAGAGTCACAGAAATGACAGTCTGGTGGCAGCATCTTGATGCATTAGTAGGAAATGGGACTCCAGGAGCCAATAAAAAAGGTGGAAAAGGCCTTAGGTAGCAACAGGAGAACTGAGAGAAGGGAAATGAGTCTGGGAAGTTTCTGGAGCTGAAGACTGACATTCCCAGGGTAAGTGAGCCCAGACAAGGTGTAGCTAGGAAAGCACTGCCTCAGCTCAGCGACTAAAACCCCAGGTTGTAGAGTCAACTCTGCCAGTAACTCGCAAAACAGCTCCAGGTAACTCCTTCTCCCATCGGTAAAGTGGGAAATCTCCTCATCTGCTGAGGAGGAAATGGAGAGGAACCAGGCATATAATGGGTATGTATGCATCACTGCCCTTTGCGCCCAGAGGGTCCTGCGGTAAGAAATGGTCAATGATGCCGGGAGGTCCAAGTCTGAGTCCTGAACAAAGCCAAAGCTGAAAGTCTCCTCTCTCAAAGTCCTGGAGAAAGGGCACAAGCCAGTAAGTCAAAGTCCCTCCAACTCTCACCCTGCCACTGGTCTCCCGCGTGCCCTCTGGCAAGTCAGACCCTACTCTTAGGCCTCAGCTTCCCCATCTATACAATGGGCTAATTGGCTCTAATGTCATCAGAATTGTGACCGCAAGATGCTCACATACGGGGCGAGGGCCTGCGGAGATGGAGAAAGGAGGGTGGCGGTGAGGGGTGAAGCGGAACTGGAGGTGCGACCCGCAGGGGAGCCGGGGCGGCGCCTCGCGCTCTCCCCGCGTCCCTCCCACCGCTAGGGGCAGGGGCGCCGGCCCCCGGCGCGAGTCACGCGCCCCTCGTGCCCAATCATCGGCCTCTGCCAGGATGAGGCGGGCAGGCGGGGGCGCTCCGGGAGCCACCGCCGGCGCCGCCCCCACCGTCGTCCTCTGCCCCGCCCGCCTGCGGCAGAGCTGGGACCCTCCCCAGTCCCGGCTCACCTGCCAGGGCCGCCGCCGCCGCCGCCACCGCGGGTTAAACCGCAGCCGCGCCCACACTTCCGGGGTCCGCCAGGCCCGCCCCCTGCCGGATGTGACCCCCCCTTTCAACGTCCGGCGCCCCAGTGGCGCGCGTGCTCGCCCCGCCACCCCGTTGGGCGCCCCGCCTCGCGCGCCTCTGGGTTACCACGATATCGTGCCACACACACACGCTCGCAGTCACCCGTGCCACAACCACGGGAGCGCCCACGAGACCCCTCCCGCGCACGCCGCACGCCCCCCGGAAGAGGCCCCGCCCACTGGGCGGAGACCAGGCCGCTCTGGGCGAGTGCGCCGGCGCGGACGTCCACTGTCTTCCGAGTGGCCCCGAAGACTCGCTCAGTACACAGCTCGACCTTGGGAGGCTGCTCGGAGGGACCCCAAAGGAGCGGGAAGCAGATGGAAGCCCAGAACCTAGGAGGAGCCCCAGATGGGCTGAGCTCAGACTGAGGAGCCCCAAGGCCACCACACACTTATTTCCATTTACTAGTTAATCTCTTTCCCCCACCCATTTATTCTACAGAATTACCGATATTCCCTATCTCCTCCCTTCCCCCCTGGAAACAGGAGATTGCAGCATAATTAGGAAGCCGCCTCTGCTCTAACCCTTTAAAAAAGGACCCTGAAGTGACCTGATGTTAACTAATCAGGTGTTTTTTTGTTTTATTGTTTTGTTTTGTTTCTATTCTGTTTCCTTTCCCATCTACGAAACCCACTGCTCTGCTATTTCCCAGCGGGATTTGAGACCACATAAGTCTATTTACAATGGTAACTGATGTCAATGTCTTAAGTTTCCAACCTCTCAAAATCAAGAGGTTGACCAAAAGGGGAGAAGTGTTAAGCTTAACCTAAAGCGCTCTCCTGGCATATTTTAAGTTTGTCCTAAAGGTTTCTCCGTACATAGTGAACTGGAACCTACTCATACCAATCACAGAGTTTCAGCCAATCACAGGCAGCCAACTGTTCAAACCTTGTTCCAATAAGGCAAATGTCAATCTGTCATTATTAGGGAACCAAACTGGATCCCTTTGCCCTCAGAAAGCCAAACAGCGAAGTACCAGGTTTTTGTAGACGGGAAGATTTGTTGCAAGTCAACTGGCGAGGAGATATGCTCAAATCTGTCTCCCCAAGCCAGGGGCTATGGCAGGTGTTATAGGCAGAGGGTAATGAGCCGTGATCTGATTGAGTCTTGCAGTGAGCAATGATCTGACTAGATCTTGCCATGGGATGATGCCATGCCTCAATCTGATTAGATCATGGATTATACCATGTATCTACTTCTTAATTCCGTTCCCGTTCTTTGGTCTGAGCATTTAGGTTGCGCCTGTGGTTGCATGCTTGGTTCTTCTGGGCACGCTCAGGTTACATAACTTGCAACCTGGGGTCCTGGCAACTGAAAAAACAACTCACCACTTTATTACACAAAGTTGAACCAGGTGGGGCTGGTTCTGTGCTTACATAACGGGTCCAACTCTTTCTGTACTTCGCTTCTGTGTTCTGGACATCTCTTTCCTTTTTCTTTTCTTATTTTTAAATTTTAATGATTGTTATTTTTTAATAGAAATGGAGATTCACTATGTTGCCCAGGCTGGTCTGGAACTCTTGGGCTCAAGCAATCCTCCAGCCTCTTCCTCCCGAAGTATTGGGATTACAGGTATGAGCCGCGACGCCCAACCTACTTTCTGTTTTCTATCCATAAATGTTATCTGACCACATGGCAGCCTCAGAGTTACTCTGAACCTATTCTGGTTCTGGGGGCTGACTGATTCACAAATCATTATTTGCTCAATTAAACTCTGTCAAACTAAATTTGTCAAAACTCCTTCTTGTAACAGAAGGGGTCCATAAAGAAGGCAGTCTCAGCTGCTGCTGACCCTTCCGAGACACTAGTGACTCCTTTGGGGGTGCCATGTTGGTTTTGCAAACGTGTCACGTGGTACATAATGTCATAGTGACTCCCATTGACAGCACCTGCCTGAAAGCTAGGTTGAAATTGTTTCTGAGGGGTAGGGAGGGCCAGGCCAGGTGACCTTAATTTTTTGTCATAAGCCTTTTTGTACTATGTGATTTTTTTTTTTTTTTTTTTTTAAGACAGAGTTTTGCTCTGGTTTCCCAGGCTGGAGTGCAATGGTGCAATCTCTGCTCACTGCAACCTCTGCCTCCCAGGTTCAAGTGATTCTCCTGCCTCAGCCTCCCGAGTAGCTGGGATTACAGGCGCCTGCCACCACACCCAGCTAGTCTTTGTATTTTTAGTAGAGACAGGGTTTCACCATGTTGGCCAGGCTGATGAACTCCTGACCTCCGGTGATCCACCTGCCTCGGCCTCCCAAAGTGCCGGGATTACAGGCATGAGCCACCGCGCCCAGCTGCTATGTGATTTTTAACTCTGCATGTGTTTCATTTCTGAAGGAAAGTAATTAGGAAACGCTATTGATGGATTAGCTTGAGTTTATATCCAGCAATCTCTTCACTGATTGGTACCATGTTGGAAGGCAGAACATGGACATGATGGCTGGAACAAGTGTAGTCATCCTGAACCATGAGGTGACCATAGGAATAGAGGTCACACTAGTGGCACAACAAAATAGAAGAAACCTGAGCCCTGATTCCGTAATGGACCATGACACCGCAGAATGGCTGCCTCTACGTTCTGTGTGAGACAGAAATAAACCACCTTGTGTCACTGTTGTTTTGGGTTTTCTGTCACTCGTGCCCTTTAAGTCTTAGACTCTACTTCTAGAAAGCCCCTATACCGTAAGACTGGGTAAGTGCCCCCTTATGTGTTATTCAAACACCCCACCCTTCTTAGCATTTTCTACACTTTTCTGTAGTTGACCTTTCACTCCCCCTAGATAGTAACTTCTCTAAGGACAGGCAGAGACTCTATTTTACACATCATTTTATGCAGATGCTGGAAACTGCTAACGCTAAAAAAAAGAAGAAGAAGAGAAAGAAGAAGAGGAAGAAGAGGAAGAGGAGGAAGAGGAGGAAGAGGAAGAGGAGAAGAAGAAGAAGAAGAAGAAGAAGAACAACAACAACAACAACAACAACAACAACAACAACAACTTGTGAATGAGACAGACACAATGATTCTACCAAGGATGTTGAGGGGAAACGACACACTGCTGCCTATGCTCTCTCTGCGTGTCCTGAGTCACTGCCACATTATCTTATGGGGGCAGAGGGTGCTGGCCCTCCTGAATAACCAAAGATAGAGAATTAGGACAAAGGAGGGAAGAAGAGAAAACTGCAGGAAATTCAGGTCATGGGAGGGACATGGCATTGGGAAAAAGGGTACTCTTTTTATCTGGTTCCTGCTATTTTCCACTTTGGACCTTTTGCAGCTTCCCTTGGCTCTAGCCCCATCCTCTCCAGTCCTGATCTCCTATCAGATACACCTATGTTCCCACATTCTGTACCTCAGTTACACCCAATTTCATTCATATCTGGAGTGGCCCTGATAAATGAAAAATTTTAAAAAGTTATAAACACAAACAACCCCAGTTAGAGAAGGCGGTGCCTTACTCTGTTTCTCACATTCACTTAATTCCTTTGTTCATTCCACATGCATTCACTGAATACCCACACTGCTAAGACCTGCGGATACACAGATGGACAGATACCCTCTCCAGCCTCAAGGAAGTCACGTTTTTGGTTGAGATTGGAGAGAAAACAAGGTATCTCTAGCCCAAGATGCCTCAGTCCTTCAAATGACCCTGATCAGGAACGAAAAAATATGACAGTACATTGCAGTATATATTTCATTGCCTCTCTACCCCCTTCTAAAAAGGGGAGTTTGGTTTTGCTTGTTTGCTTGCCTGTTTGCTCAGCTGCTCAGCCCTGGACCTTGTCATACTGGTTGAATGGACGGACAAGTGACATAAACAAGGAAGACAAGACAAGGAAGTTAAGAGTTCGAGGTAACGAGACATTTGAGAAGCTGAGGTATTGCGAGAGATTTGGGAACTGGGTTGGAAGAGCAGTTTTGTTGTTGTTTTGGGGGTTGTTTGTTTGTTTTTTGAGACGAGTCTCGCTGTCGCCCGGGCTGGAGTACAGTGGCACGATCTCGGCTCACTGCAACCTCCGCCTGCTGGGTTGAAGCGATTCTCCTGCCTCAGCCTCCCAAGTGCTGGGACTGCAGGCACCTGCCACCATACCTGGCTAATTTTTTGTATTTTTAGTAGACAGGGTGTCACCGTGTTAGCCAGGATGGTCTCGATCTCCTGACCTCGTGATCCGCCCGCTAGGATTACAGGTGTGAGCCACTGTGCTAGGATTACAGGTGTGAGCCACTGTGCCCGGCTGGAAGAGCAGTTTTTAAAGGAAGTTTTGATTTGTGGCATGTAGAATCTCTAATTTGGTCTTCAGAAGACCACCAGTGAAGAGTTACTTTATCTTTTTATTTCTAGAGTTGGGAGTCAGATCTGTCTGGCTGGTTTCTCTCTTCTACTTCCTCCTTGTGGCTCCCGTGCTGTGCTGAGCCGTTCAGCCTGCACAACTCAGACAATGGATTATGCCTCTGAGGTAGGGCCTGGCAGCTGCCTACAAAATTATCCGTTCTCTGTTTTTCCTTAAAAACAGTACATTTCATTCAGGATTGCAATGTGCCCAGTCAGCTAAAGACTGCATTTCCCAACTGCCTTTGCTGTTAGTTGTGACTAGGTGACTCTGATATAAGCAGGAGTGTTGAGGGGGATTTCCTGGAAGGCTGCTTTAAAGGAGCTGATTCAGCTGGGACGTGAGTCTTTTTGCCTTCCCCCGCCTTCTTCTAACTACTCACTAGATGTCAGATGTGCTGGCTGGAACTCCTGCAGCCATATTGGACTATGAGGTGACTTTGGAAATGGAAACGATTCAAACTCTGAACAGCCTATCTCCAGATTTATTTAAGGGGGAAAAAATAAGTTTTATCTTTTTAAAGTTGTGGTTATTTCAGGTTTTCTATAATATACACCTAAACTTAAACCTGATACTACTACACAGTTACAGTGTGTCTTAGTCTGCTCAGGCTGCCATAAAAATAAATAAATAAATAAATAAACAA